TCTTCCTTCCAAGGAGTGGCTGGTGGGTTTGAACCGCCAGCCTTCCGGTTAGCAGTCCATCAGCACTATGCTACCAGAGCTCCCATGTAGGATGTAGAACAATATTTTTGTGTAGTATGTTATGCCAATTGAGCCTGATTTCCTATCAGGGGTATTTTGAAAAATGTTGCCTAAAAGTGAGAATAAGGAAGCAAAGCTAAAACTGTGATTGCTCAAGAAGGCGAAGTCACTCCTATCAGTCAGGGAGGGGAATTTTTGGTCATTTTTGTGGTTTGGACTGGGCTGAGATGTTTTTGTTTTTTCTCAGATGAGATTCCAGATCATTCTTGTGGTCTTGTTCCATCAGGGTCATAGAGTGGCCCTGTCTGATGTTAGCTGTCTGTGAAATTGTTCATGTTCAACAGGATGACGTCAAGGCTCAGCTGTGAGGGCCCAACCAGTTGCAGTTATTTCACAGGACCAGGTGGTGGTGGTTGTCATCTGTCACTGAGTTGGCCCCCAAGTAATACCAAACCCATGCACAAATCAGACCTTCGTGACCTATAGGGCTTTCACTGGCTGATTTTTGGAAGTAGATTGCCAGGTCTTTCTTCCTACTCTGGAAGCTCCACTGAAGCCTGTTCAGCATCACTGCAATATGCAGGCCACCACTGACAGATGAGCGGTAGCTGTGCATGACGTGCACTGGCCAGGAATCAAACCCAGGTCTCTCTCATGGAAGCTAAGAATTCTACCACTGAACCACAACTGCTCTCCAAGGAGAAAGGGAGCAATGATTTGCTGTGCCTTTGTTATGTATAAGGCACTGGGCTAATGTTTGGCCAACTAAACCTCCCTGAATACTATCATCCTTTTAATACAAAAACTGAGGCTCACACAGGTTAAGGAATTGGCTTGAATCAGCAAGATTAGGTCTTAGTTTGGTCTGTTGACTCATCAAGCTCAGAATAAACAACATCTCTTGTGAACTTGCTCCCATAATTCAAAGACTGGTCACTGCTAGGTCTCTTGAAACATAAACTTAAAACCACATGTGTGAACTACACATCTAAATAAAAGCTACAAACAAATACCGTAGTTATCTGGTTTCCCTTCACATTTCTGTTATGTTGTTATGTGCCATCGAGTTGGACCCGACTCATAGTGACTCCTCCTTGGCTTTCCGAGGCAGTATCACTACGGAAGTAGATTGCCCAACTTTCTTTCCGAGGAGTGGCTGGTGGGTTTGAAGCGCCAGCTTTCTGGTTAGCAGTCAAGTGCCTCAGTCACTATGCTACCAGAGCTCACATTTCTAGGTATGTGCAATTACCTCTCCAGTACTGATATGGTGATATAATTTTAACTTTCTTTCCAGAGTTCTGTCACTGGGTGACAGGTACAAATGAAATGTTATCTTTCAAATATTATCACTGTGACTTTATTCAGTAATAGAAATGAACATTTCATACCCAGAATATGAAACTGAAAGTAATTTAATTGTTC